GGGGTTTTTTGTTTTTTTTGGCTTTTTTTTTTTTTTTTTTTTGGTACCAGGGATCAAACTCAGCTTTTGTGCTTGCAAGGCAGGCAGTGGCACCACTGAGCCAAACCTCCTGCCCTAAAGTGGAGGTTTTTCAGGCTTAGAATTTTTGTCTTGTTTAAGAAAATTAACAAAAACTCATAAATAAAGCAAAAAAAAAAAAAACTGTCTACATATAGTTTCATTGTTGTACTACTAGGATACTACCTAAAAAGCTTGCCTGAGAGTCTTCTGACTCTTAAAATAGTATTGATTTAATATTTACTACATATGTCTAATCAAAATATAAATGAATTTTGCCCATGAGAGAAGATGGGCTCAAACATGTATTCTTATGAAACGTTGCTCATTTTTTACTTTGTCAATCTTATTCATCATTCTTTTTATTTTCAGATTGTATGGGTATATTTTTCTATTTTGTATAACCACCTCTGAACCAGCTTTGTCAACCTGTTAAATTCTCTTATTATTTAAACACGTTTATTACATATTTGCACAAGAACTTCATTCTCAACATAAAAGTTACGCTTTGACACTTTTTAGTAATAAATTTCATCATCTTACTTTGTGCTTTTTGATTTAATATACTTTTCTCACTATGTGCCCTTTAGTACTCTTGTCTTTTGTCAGAGTTTGTTTATCTTATGGCTGATTTACATAGTAATAGTAAATGAATTTATTAGGAGAATGTGAGCTATCTCACATGTAGAATAGGAAATCCAGAAAGAAGCATGCACAAAGTAGTAGCAGGAAACACATCTGACATAGTACTTTAGACAATCACCAGCTTTCCAAAAATATCACCCTAGGAGACATTATTGCCGCATCAACCAGGAGCATGTGAGAATGCTGCCACCTGCCACAACACACATACCTCAAACTCTGCCCATTTTTCTGAATCATTCTTTCTAACATTCCAAGCCCATCCTAGAATATTCACTTGGCCATTTTATGTCATTTTGAAGAAATTTTCATTTAGTTAAATTTTAAAGAATATTTGGGGGAAATATTTTTATTTCAGATAATAAATACTTGAATATCTATTTCTCACAAGTTTTTCATATAATTTTCTAGACTTGTACATAAATTCACACAAATACAGTAGAATTAGACCTTTAGTCTATGAAAGAGCTTTACCTGGGCCAAGTCCATCATGACCTATAACAATTTTGTACAAATCTCCAAGATGAACAGCTTCTAGGAAGAAGGTATCAGTCTAAAACCAAACAAAAAATGCAATTAATTTAGATTATAACTCTGATTTTCACTGAGAATAAATTAAGATGCAGTAAAAAATTGATTGTGAAAAATTCATTAAGCAAATTTGTCTATATTAAGAACTCATGGTCAAGGGCTGGGGATTTAGCTCAGTGGTTCCACAGCCTGCTGCGTAAGTTCAAGGCCTGATTTTGATCCCCATTACACAAAAAAAAGAACTCATGGTCAAAACAATATTAATTCATGGTACATAAAGTACATTTTCAAATATATCCTTTTTCCCTTTTACTGTCTTTGGTTATGAGAGCATACATTTGGGAACTTTCTATAATTATTTCAAATAATCCTGGTGTAAATGTAAGAAGTATAAAATATTTTTAAAGTTTACATTCATTTCAATTTAAACTCTAGTCTATCATATAATACAATCTTTTTTTAGCAATTTTATGGGACACATGCAAAAGTAATGCTTCTAATGTCCTATTAAGATATTAATGTAAAAGTATTAAACTTTTATCTGGAATCCTAAATATGCTGCCAAAGCAAAAGGAACTATGGTTGTGCTGCAATGGTTATATACTCAGAATATGGATAATAGTGAAGAACACAGAACATTTCTGATAAAAATCTAAGATGTTACAGATTTCATTGTACAAAAATATATAGCATTATCTGTCAAAAATTATTAAAAAATAAAAACACTTGCATTTGTATAGTGTCTTATATATTCAAAAACATTTTCATGTGTCTTATTTTGTCCTCAAAATTTTCTAGGTAAGAAAAAAATCCTTTCTACAGAACAGAAAGGTCAGACACAGATCAGGATTAGAAATCATCTTATTTAACATGTAATAAGACTATTTTCATTTTGAGCCACTCTTTCTCTGTATGAAAATAACCAAAATATGTTGTATGTGTATAGCAATATACTCAAATAAATCTCATTATACTTTATTGCCAATATGTACCAATTAAAAAGAATATAAACAATGGGTAGTAAAACAATTACCATTCCTTAACTACAACAACAACAAAAAAAATCCTGCCTATTGTTGGGATAGGTTCATGGGTAGCACTGTCGTCCCTCTATCTACTAAGCAGAATTGTTAGAAAAAGAAAACTGTACGCAATAACAAAAGATATTACCAAAGAAAATTATGAGTTATGATATTTATAATGATACAGTGAACTTTAAGAAAATGTATATAATGAAAATAACTTGATATTATTACAGTCTTTTTAGTACTTTTAGTATTCTCACAGATATGTGAAATAAGTAAGTACACATAGATCAATTCTCTTGAAGTATTGGCAACTAGGAAAATACTGTATCCACATCAAATTTGATAGGAAAAGTGAAGACACACTCATGCCACATATCTGAAGACAGTGCTGAACAATCAGGAGGGACCCCCAACTCCCAGATTTTCCCTGAGGACTTAAATTTCTGGACCACAAATGTCCTACCCCAATGATTGCCACCTAAGGATCAGGGCTCTAAATCAACTACCTGTTGGAATAGATGGGACTTGGCATTTGCAAATCTCCTGAGACTACAGAATAACAATGTAGCTGTCTCTAAACTCAGTGCAATAAGCATGGAAAATGACTTAACATCCAGTTTTTCCCTGAAACAATTTGACTACACACTTTCCCAAATACTGCCTGAAGTATTTGGCACTTTTCCAAATGCCTGAAGGCCAAAGGGGCAGGTCATCAGTAAACTTCTAAACTTGAATGAACATGGGGGTTCTTCCTATGACTTTGCCTTTATTTTTATTCTTCACTCCAGCAATAAAACCAAGCCTCCAGCTTCTCCCTGGAAATACATTATCTACACAGCAAGTACTCAAATTTGGACAATTCCCACTGAAGGGATTGACTGTTAAATCACCTAGTTCTAGAAGCAGAAGGCCCTATGCATTGTTAGTACCCTGGAAACACAGAGAACAAATAAATGGTTGTAAATGGGCAACTGAAGCACTTCTATTAGCTATCTCCCCTAGGCCAGCGCACAGCAAGGAAAAAAAAAAAAAAAAGCTCCCAGTTTCTCACTAATAGGACTTTGACTACACACAATATTCTAGCTTTCCTGGCAGCTGTCAAGATTTAGCTTGATCTTGGAATTGACAGAACACCCAATCAATAGTCAAATGAGTACTTGGATGGGCATGAGTATTCATTTTTCCCCTACAGAAATAGGACAAGACTCCAAGTTAACTCACCTGCCTTTGAGAGCTGATTGGACCAGACTGTTGGAAGTTCCCTGGGGTTAACAAAGAGCAAAGCAATGAGTTGAAAGTATGTGGTCTGAACAGGAATGTAGATTTACCACAAATCCTCTCCCAGACTTAATGTAGAGAGAGTGGGAGATAGATTCCAGCTCCCTGTGGAGAAAAGGAACTAGACCACATATTCAGCACCCCATTTCCAGATTTTCTTAAGGTACTGGATTCTATCCTGCCTGTCTCACAGCACTGATGGACTTGCCAAATCCTAATGCCCCTGGAGATACTAAAGACTGCAGTGTGGATAAATGGAAAAGTTTATGAGAAACACTAATCTGTTGCCAGATATATTGCTAAGATTCACTTCCTCCAGGAAGTCAGTCTGACAATACTAGGAGAGGATTACCTAATCCTTAGACATCAATACAGAGTAAAGGAAAAATGAAGAAACAGGAATCTATTCCATACAAAATGCAAGATAAATCAGGAATCAACCCTAATAAAATGAAAGTAAGTGATTTACTCAACACAGAATTCAAACAGTCATAAAGATGTTAGATGAGAAGTAATAAATGAGCAAAATAAGAGTTTTCACAGAGAGATGTAAATGTCCAGAGAAGAATGAAGCCAGGATGAATCAAGTAAGAATTTCAATAGAAAAGATTCAAAGTATAAAGTTTTGAGGTTCAAAATAAAAAAAGAACATCTACAATTCAACAACAACATGTGGTATGCCTACCTCCTAAAGCCAAGTACACAGAGGAAAGTACTATGATGCTATCTCACAATTAGAATTATACTATAAAAGAGAAAATGGCCAGAATCATCTTACCTTTTGATTTTCTTTACATTAAGAAGTAATTATTGCTTGTGTTCCAGTGTAAGTGTAATGAGAGACACCTCACCCTTAAGACATTCAGTACCTCTAAGCCTGAGGCTACTCCTCACCCTTTAGAACCTGAAAACAAAGTTTCTAAGACAACTTTAAACCCTGACCACCAGGTACTGAGGAGGGAGTATCTAGAGCAGCCATAATGAAAACCTCCATGAGGCTATGTTCACCCTTAGCTAAGTTGTTCATGTCCATCGAAGACAACACCCCTTGCAGGAAGTAAATGGCAAATATGGGCCTGTGTTCATGTGTCTTTTCCTCAGTGATCTAAGACAGATTAAATGAGACCTAACGAAGTTTTTAGATGATATGTACACTGAGGTCTTTGAAGAACTTAGACCTATGGACTAGATTAGAAAGATTCAATGTTGCTCTTAAATCAAATATTGATTTTATTGCGAGACAAGTGTTATATTGATTTTGGAATCAATATTATATTGAATTTGGAAGCTCAAAAGAAAAGCAGCCAGGGGAATAACTGGTTTCTACTGGAAGATGAGCAGTTCCTGTACAAGACACCTACTGGCTTGCCAATCAGATAGAAGATTAAAATAGAAGACATTTTCAGGCAAGTATTCTTAAAGGTCTAAGAAACATGAGAACTAAGCCCTTCAGTTATTTTAAATTGTCAACTATTATCAGAAAGAGGTAAGGACATCTCTAGACCCTGATTTGATAAAAGGAAATACTATAGTTTTCCCCAACTTAGTCTTGTCATATGTAGATGGTATGTTGTATACCCCCTCAGAAAAGCTTTCTAGCCAAGACACCTGTGTTCTGCTGAATTTTCTAACAGACAGGGATAATAATGTTTGTAGATCTAAGGCACAACTTTGCAGCCTTGACATAAAACATTTAGGCCTTATTATATCTAAGGGAACCCAAAGACTTGGGAAGAAAGGAATTAATCCAATTCTTTCTTTTCCACAGCCTAAGACTCTAAAACAGCTAAGGAGATTTCTAGAAATTACAGGCTTTTGTCACCTTTAGATAGCAGGATATAGTGAGATTGTGTGACCTATCTATCAGGCTATAGAAAAACCCAAAAGAAAAACATATTTTAACCTGGGAACCTGGTTACCAGACCTCATTCCAGAGGCTCAAACAAGAACTTCTAAGTGCCTGCCTACAGGACAGCATTTCAGTTTGTATGTTAATAAAAGGTAAGACATGGCTTTGTGAGTGTTTCTACAAGATCAGGGAGCTTCTCAACAGCCTGTAGGGTATTTAAGTCATAAATTAGATATTATAGATTGAAAATAATTTATTTAGAAAGAAAAGTCCAAACAATATAGTTAGAATACTTTCATTCTGTTTCAAGAAGTAAAAAAGAAGCCATTCAGGTTCTTTGATTATTGGTTTAATTTTCTGCTTGGCAATGCAATTGGAGTTGGTCATAGCCTTTGTCTCTAGAGATATGTTTTGCTAAGGATTACAGATCCATTCTGGAAAAACTCCTGATTTTAATTTTCCTTCTATACCAGAAATAGTTAAGATTTAGTTCTTGTGCCATAGTTTAAGGCACTCTTTTGTTCCTTCTCCATTTTCCTACCCCTGAGAAATAATGCAGTTCTCCATAGTATTTAATTCAAGGCACTTCCCTCTTCTGTGGCCACTGGATTTCAAGACAAAGCTTCCAGAATGGTGAGTTTCCCCTCCCTGGAACCCTTTCAGAGTAAAGCTGACCTTCACTTATTTCTGGACCACATAAAAAACTAGTCTAGGCTTAATCCCAAAACTCTTTTTTTTTTTTAACCACTTCAGTGTTCTTTCATTGAGACTACTTCCCTTTTGTGAGTAGTCAAAACTAGCCCAAATTTTAGATATATTTTGTTCAATTTCTTAGCATAGGGGATATCCCTCTAGAAGAGAGAGAAT